CATGTCATGTGTTTTTGTGCCCAATCAAGTCTGTCACTTTTGTGCTTTAATGAAAGTGGTGGCATTACAGCTTTTTTTCTGAATTTTAACATTGGAGATTTATTTAAAACTCTCCACACTGTTGTGCTGCTACAAGGCAAGTCTAATTCTTGTTTTATTTTTCTTACTGATGTTTGTTTTGTGGAGCAAACCTTGATGATTTGTCTACAATCTCGAGGAGTAAGCTTGGGTTTTGGACCTGTCTTGAATTTTGGTACATCCTTGCCATGTCTTTTTGATAATCACCAACAGTTATTTTGGACGATTTATATATGCTGCAATTTCTCTTATTGACTTGCCTTGTGATTTATAGGCATCAATCTTCCCTTTTTCATAATCAGATAAATTCTTTGTTTTACCCATTTTAGAACGTTGAACAACGTAAAGAATTTGTATTACAATTAGATATGTAAGCTAATTTGCATATTTCAATGCTTGAAACTAAACAATATTCTGTTTAAGTCATAAAATGAGTGCCTGTCTGGATAAATATGTAACAGTTTTTTTGTATAAGATTTTCAAAACTATTATTTTCAGTGACAAAATATTAATGTTTGATTAAAATTCTTATTTTGCAGTGTAGAAACATGTAAGTACATATTATTTTTAATAAAACATTTGTCACTTAATGCAGCAAATTTGTGTTTCACTTTAATTTTTTCGTGTCCGTATAAATTTGAAACACACCTTATTCTTGGGCGAACAACGTTTTTGCAGGAAACATTAACCACAGAGACACGGGAGCTTGCTCAAAGCCCAATTTGCTTGCCCATTATTCTAACATTAAAATAACAAACCACGTTTAGGATTAAATAGTACTGTAGTGCAAATTTACAAGGCTTGGCTACAGTTAACAATGCTGACTTGCAAAGAGTTAAACATTTGTTTATTCATGTGAGAGCCCAGATTAAGTTCGAACCTAAAAATGTTTATAAAAAGTTGTAATAAATGGTGAACGTGATATGGAGAGAAACAAACGATTCCGCAAGGTGTTGAATCGGCGACACCAGACTAAACTTTGACATCATCGCTCATGTATAATAGATAGAAGTGAACTTCATCGGAAAAGTGTTCTTGTGTTCTCTGCATCTGACGCCACCACCCAGATACACGAGAGCCCCTAGGTTATCCCGATGAGGAATTAATGATCCCCAAAAGTCGGCTTATCCACATTCACATAATGCAGTACACTATAATAGTATACAGTGTCTATTAATTAATGTAACGATGAATCAATTATTACAACCCACGAGTATGCATTATTGAACAATTCTTGACTTCGATTCACACTGGGCAACAAATGCCGAATAAAAATTATTTATGGAGATGTTTAGCAAGTTGCTGGCAATTTTTTTACATCAAGACTAGTTTTGAATTGGAACTTTTGTTAATTTCATCTCACCGAAACCTCTCGCACTCAACAGTGTACACTGGGAGTGAAAGAACAAATACCATAACTGTTGCTACATTAGGGTAATCTGAGAGAAGACCATTTAAAACTTTAGCCATTGACATATCATTACACCTGACAGCAACAAATCTTTAAAAAGAACCCTGCTCTATAAGAAATTGTCTATTCCACTGAATTGTGGTTGCAAGAACTTGTGAATATCTACCATTTTATGATCTGCCAATTACTGACCATAATCAGTAAATTCACTCGAGAATGAACTCGAAATATTTCTTGGCACAGTAAACAGGTTTAACTGTCCCAAATCACAAAACCTATCTTTTAATGGGATGATACCAAAATTTCTACGGATTCCGATTCTTTTGAATACTTTAAAGTTTATTTTAGTTTAGGAAAAATCCAGCAACGAGTTGCGTAACTTTCCCGGCTGTTATGAGTTTTTAATAATATAAAAGTTACTTTTTAAATAAGCATAATAAAAACTGTGTGGCTCCATCTGTTAACAGATTTTGTTTTAAAAACTTTATATTTTTAACTAGCTGTACCCGGCCACGCGTTGCTGTGGCTCATTTCTCTGCGACGATAATGGAGTGTTTTGCTCTTCGCTTGTCACTCCGGAAGAAACAGTGTGGTTGGTCGTCGCACAGCGACCGAAGAGGCGGTCTCATCGAAGACGACCAATCCGAGGAAGATAGAAGAGAGGTCACAAAGCAACCAAATCTGGCCTTATAGGAGACGACCCCCGCAAGAAAGGGAGACAGAATGCCTTCCGGGAGGACTTGGAGGGGAAGCTGGCTCCTATTCAGGCGTCATTGGCAAGGAGGAAAACCCAGAAAAACTCCCGCTGCCAGCTCGTCCGAGTGAGGCGCGAAACCCCGATCGAACTCCGGTGTTTAGGGTCTCGTCACCACTATCAAGCGGAGACGGAGTCCACTCGGCCGTTGCTGTGGCTCAAAATGTATCTGTTATAAATACAGTATACTAGTAGCTCGGGACGCCCCCTAGTGGGCGTTCTTTACAAATTTCCATGAGGCACGGTTCCTTTGACTTTTTTGTTTCTATCAATATGCTCTACAGCTCTGTAAGTCCGAATGGTAAGATTTACCCTACGAATGAAGAGGTGGCGACCCCCCAAACTATAGACCGCTGTACGAACAATAAAGTGAAAGGAACCATACCCCTACTCGCGACCCTTCGCGAGATATAAGCCCTGAAACAATAAATTCATATTACAAATATACTGAATTATTTATGTTGTTATACTGACCAAATAATAATTTATTGGCCAAATGAATAATAATTTATATTGTTAATTTAAATAATAATTAAAATTGTTAATTTGAATGTTTGAAATATGACACACGAGATAAAGGACACTAGAAGCCGTTTGATAACGGCCTCTAGTGTCCGTTATCAAACGGTAACGGNAATTAAAATTGTTAATTTGAATGTTTGAAATATGACACACGAGATAAAGGACACTAGAAGCCGTTTGATAACGGCCTCTAGTGTCCGTTATCAAACGGTTACGGGACAGACGGATACCCGTTGAATGGGTTATATATATATAGATAACACTCCCCGCGGGAGGGAATTTCGAAAAACCCCTCTAGTGTAGGTACATTCTCTTGACGTACCCTATTAAAACGCAAAAACCGCATCTAAAATAGTACAGTAGAACCCCTATAAAATGGGTTTATATAATATGGATTCGTATATAACGGGGAAAAAATTGCGATCGTATTCGAGACTCGTATGATACGGTAAAACGTCATCGACGACTCGTGTCGCAACAGGATTGGTCGAATCTAGACCAATAGCGGATATTGCACAAACCGTTCAGTTTGTGCAATATAACGTTGAGTTTAAACGAGCAGCGGACCTACTATAAATCATTTATTTAACGGCCATAAAAATTATTTATATTAATGATGTCTCCAAAGTTTAGCAAATTTTTCGCAGAAAAATAATTTATCAGGAAACATGCGTCCACTGTTCGATGCGCCGCTCCGCGACGAAAACAAGCTTAAGCAATGGCGTCGTCGAACGATACGCACTAGGTAAGTAATCCTACAATTTTTTGTTTATAGCATAGTTTATATAAATTATTCCCAAAAAATTATACGTGTTTTGGAAATGTTGAATCGTATTAGTCTAGAATCGATTAATTTTATGGAAGAAAGATTTTCAAACAGCCGTAGTCCGTAAACTGCATACATGCCGGGTTGTGATTGGCTCGTGTATTTAGCTCTTTCCGCCCTGTGGGCACTAAGAGGGCCTCATTTTTGCAGGCCCATTATGGGTTCGGCCAGGCCCACAATGGGGCTGCCGGGTGGTGAGGGACGGGGCCCGACATATCCGAACGGGCCAAACCCCGAAAGATTCCTGGGGATTTTTCGACCCGTTCGGATTCGAACCCGGGTCCCTCAGAGTGGTAGGCTGCCACCTTAGCCGCTCGGCCATCCGGCCGCTTACTAATTTGAGCTGGAGAGCATATACAGTCGACCCCCCTATAGTACGGTAGATACGTTCCATTTTTTATGAAATTCATGTTTTACGAGTCCTTAAGGAAAAATACGGACGGTCGATAGCGGGAATTTATAGGTTAGTTTTTCAATGTTTCATTGTTCTAGTGGGTCGTGATTGTTCAGTCGAGTACCGAGTACTGGTATATACTATATCTGTATATATAAATTGTACACTAGTATTTTATATAATGTACTATACGTACAGTACAATGTCTTTTTTTTATAGTCTGCAGGCATCGCTAGTAGTAGCTGGGAATATACATGTAAAGACTGGACCCGTCATTAGCCTCTTACTGTACATTTGTACATTTAATGTACAGTATTCGGTTGATTTGTAAACGAAGAGGAACGTAATTGTTCGAAATGCACATTTTATAAAGTAGAACGGGCGAAGCAATTGGAGGAAACATTAACTAAAAAAATTTGACTTTCGTTTAGGATGCCATCATTTTTACATGGCACATTTTTTCACATGTTGGATGTTTTTATTGAACTGCTTTATCTTTCTATATTTAATTCATTCGGAGTATTCGAAATCATCCCTTTTGAGAAATTCTTTCCGCGCATTTTGTAAATCCCGACACGACTTCGTCTCTCTGTCGACAGGTTTCGACAACCGGTGACGTCACTTTCGTTAAACCGTCTGTTTTCTTCGGTTAATTTGCGTTAAAAATACAGTGGGTGATAGGTTAACGAACATAATTCGTTCCAAGACTTTGTTCGTTATCCGAATTGTTCGTTAACCGATTATCGATTTACTATAGGTTTTTATGGGAATTTGATTAAATCGTTCCGGAGACTTCAAAAAATAAAAAAAATATATTTTTTTATTACGTTTATTTACAGTAGGCCCCTATAACGTGGGTTCCTATAACGGAAATTCCTATAACGTAGCGAAAAAATTGCGGCAGTATTCGTATAAAGGGACTCGTAAAACGTCGTCGCCGACTCGTGTCGCGACAAGATTGGTCGAATCTGGACCAATAGTGGATGAGCAGCCGAACTACTTTCCGCCGTCCAGCGCCACGCTACGGAGAGTTTAGGCGGGTAAATTGAGTTTGCTATCGTCTGTACAGTATTATATATAAATTAGGTACTGTACATATAATTATATATTAATTATATATAAATTAGGTACTGTATATATAATTATATATTAACTTAATTTATTGTAACTTTATTATAATTATATATATACTTTCCGCCGTCCAGCGCCACGCTACGGAGAGTTTAGGCGGGTAAATTGAGTTTACTATCGTCTGTACAGTATTATATATAAATTAGGTACTGTACATATAATTATATATTAATTATATATAAATTAGGTACTGTATATATAATTATATATTAACTTAATTTATTGTAACTTTATTATAATTATATATATACTTTCCGCCGTCCAGCGCCACGCTACGGAGAGTTTAGGCGAGAAGTTGAGTTTACTATCGTCTGTACAGTATGTAAATTAGGTACCGTAAGTCTAATACAGCACTGTAATTTTATACATTTCTTGTGAAAGAAACATTTCTTATTCAACGGCCATAAAAATTATTTCTATTAATAATGTCTCCAAAGGTCAATGAATTTTTCGCAGAAAAATAATTTATCAAAAAAATGCGGCCGCCGTTTGGTGCGCTGCTCCGCGACAAAAACAAGCGTAAGCAATGGTATCGTCGAACGGTGCACACTCGGTAAGTATCCTACAATTTTTTGTTTATAGCATAGTTTATATGGATTATTCCCAAAAAATTATACGTATTTCGGAAATGTTGAGTCGAATTAGTCTAGAATCGATTAATTTTATGGAAGAAACCTTTCAAACAGCCGTAGTCCGTATACTTCACACGTGTCGGGCTGTGATTGGCTCATGTATTTAAGGATTCCTACAACATAAAATTCTTATAAAGTGGAACGTATCTAAGCGTTATAGGGGGTCTAATGTATATATAATAGTAAAAATACATATGTACACAGTCTTGCATTTTTATTGGTCATGTTTTTTTCCGTTTATGGGGATTAAATAATCTGTCCAATGTCGATTGCTTTTCTCTTTTCTTCAGGATTTTTCGGAAGTAATTAATAGTATTGTAATTGTAGAGATCCCCAACCCCATTAACCTTATTCTGGTTTGGATGCCACTTGGATGATCGCTGTTCTGACATCCCTGGAGTTCTTCTGTCGTAGATCAGTTTCAGGTTCTATTATGAGCTCTAAAATGCTCTTTATTTCACAGATGTGATTTTCATTACTCCATTAGCAGCTTGAGACTTCTTGATATATCTTTCATATTTCTCAGTTATTTCTCAGATGCGATTTTCATTACTCCATTAGCAGCTTGAGACTTCTTGATATATCTTTCATAGCTAAGATTGTGCCTACTGTAGACCTGTTCAAGCCATATTGCCTAGCAACATCAGACATATTGTGCCCACTTTCTACCTTGGCTATTATCTTTTACTTGATTTCTACGGTGAGCACAGTTCTTGGCACTCCTTTTTTTATGCTTCATAATATTATCAGTTTCTTTTTTAAATAAAAAGTTCAGAAAAGCACTTACAAAAATTCAGAGAACAGAAATCAACTAGTCCACAAGAAATTATTTAAATGCAAGGCCCGGATGAAATTCGAAATTTGGTATTAAAACGTTCCTTTCACCTTTCGTAAATAAACCCCGACGCAAAACTTAACAAGTACCCGTCCGACAGTCTCACAAATTCTATAAAAAATTATTTGTCAGAAAGGTAAACAAAAAGCTGGAATTACAAGTTTCAAAATTCGGAGGGATACTATCCGATCGGTATCGGGTTGAGCGTCGATTTTGACGTCTCCCGCCTTCAGAAAGGTTTCGAATTCTTACCTGAAGACAAAGGAAAATCAATCGGTATTCGTTATTTTCCGTCACTTCTTTTTATGTTTGTTCAGTAAAGTGTTCGTTGTCCGATCATAAAAATCTTTCGCGAAAGTGTTCGTTATCCGATTTGTTTCGCTATCCGAACAGTTCGTTAACCGATCACCCACTGTACTGTATTCTGTATCCGAGTCGATCGCATTCATCGGAAAACACGCTATCTGCCGATAAAACATAATACGAACAAAGTTATTAATTTTAATTTTTCGGCGTAATCAATGCGCCGAAATCTTAATTAATGGAGATGGGGAGATCTGCACCGATCTTTCAATTAATCTTCTATTGGAATAGTCTGTGCGACGATTTACGTAATATATCGAGTTATGAAATCTTCAGAAAAAATGTAAAAAAATGGAAAAAAGGTTAAGACTCAACGTTATTTGTTGTTAATTAATTTTTCTTTCTCAGCTCGCGTNTGTTCGTTGTCCGATCATAAAAATCTTTCGCGAAAGTGTTCGTTATCCGATTTGTTTCGCTATCCGAACAGTTCGTTAACCGATCACCCACTGTATTCTGTATCCGAGTCGATCGCATTCACCGGACAACATAATACGGACAAAGTTATTAATTTTAATTTTTGGAGTAATCAATGAACCGAAATCTTAATTAATGCATAAAACTCATTTAAAAAATGTAAAATTAATATCCAAATACATCACATTCTTTACTTTTAACAAATGTTACCGTATCGGCGTTTCCTCTACACTCTGAATAATCTAGATAAATAAATTATAATTTTAAAATATTTACTTAGAAAATTATAACTATTTATTAATAATGCTTTAATATGCGATAAATATAAATATAAACGTAAATTTAAATTTTTCCCCATTACGCGAGTCTATATTAAGATGTGCAGGTGTCCAACTTCCCGCATTTAGAAGAACAAGAACATGTGATTACGTCCCGAGTCGATAGAAGCGAAGATGTCACCTTTGGTGCGATTGGTACCGAGTTTAAACTCGAAATTACTCGGCATTCGCCATTTCTGGAGATCGCGAGACCCTTTTCACGATTTCGAGTCGGGAATGCGATACCTAGAAAGGCAAATGAGGGATATGGAACGAGAAATGCGTCGCTTGTACGACAATTTTAACGCACGTGACGTGTTTTTAAGCTTAACGTCGCCTTGGTTCGGTCGGCAAGTTCCAATAGAATCTTCGAACGCCAAAGAGAAGTTTACTTTGAAGCTGGACGTGATCGGTTATAAACCCGAAGACATCAAAGTGACGGTGAGAAATCATATATTGACGATACAAGCGAGGAAGCAAGAAACCACCAAGGACGGAGCCAAGGTTTATAGAGAGTATACGCATCAATATAACCTGCCCGAGGAAGTGGATCCGGATACTGTCAGATCCATGTGTAATTCTGATGGAAATTTGATTATCGAAGCGCCTCTGAAGTTCGTAGATGAGCCGAAAACAACAGAAATACCAGTCGAAAACATTAAAGATGAGAAATGAGTTCTCTTTGTTAATTTGTAGAGATACAACAATACTGTACTGTACTAATAGTTGTAGATTGCTTTGTGTTCTATTCTAGTTTATTCTGGAAAGGAATTTTTGTATTATTTATTTGAATATTTTTAAAATAAATATTTAGATATTTTGGTGTTAATTGTGAATTTTTTTTTTCATAATTTCTAACATAATTGAGTGTTTAGCCAAAGATAACTTTTCAAAAACTGTACAAGGTCTGTTCAAAAAGTATCGGACCTTATTTTTTTCCGCGTAAACCAATGATGCGAGAGAGGCCTCCTTCGGTGGAGTTGTGGAGGGGACAGTCATGCACAGCCCTGAATTTTTTCCCGCCTGCAGAAAGCGTCAGTCGTTGGCAATCGGCGTATGAGTGAGGTCATGTAGTGCGCTCTCGTCGGATTTCACTAAGCTGGAAAATGACTGAACAACGTGAGCAGCGATATTACATCAAATTTTGCCAAAAACCTTGGCGATACCCGAGTGTAAACCATTCGCAAGATTCAGCAGGCTTTCGGGGACGATCCTCGAGGCCAAAAAAAGCGCGGCAGGTCCGCAGCAATATCAAAGGTCATGTTGACAGTTTTTTCGACTCTCGTGGGGTGGTGTGTCGTGAGTACGCACCACAAGGCCAAACCATCGCAAAGGAGTACTACCAGGAGGTCCTTCGTCGTCTTTCCGATACAGTGCGACGCAAACGACCGGATCTGTGGTCGATCAAAACTTGGCAGCTCCATCGTGATAACGCATCCGCCCATTCTGCGCATCTGATTCGGGCTTTCGTCGCCAAACACAATACTCCTGTGGTTCGTCACGCTCCGTACTCTCTCCACATGGCTCCGTGTGACCTTTGGCTATTTCTCAAGCTGAAAATGCCGCTAAAAGGAACCCAAATTTAGTCGAGAAAAGACAACATGCGAAATGCGACGGACCGGCTGATAACCATTCCAAAAGATGCATTCCAGCAGTGTTTCCAGTAATGGCAGGAACGCTGGGAGAAGTGTATACATTACCAAGGAGACTACTTTGAAGGGGATTAGGGTTTTGTACCTCAAAGTCAATAAATTTATTTTTGCCGACCAAAGGTCCGATACTTTTTGAACAGACCTTGTATATCTGTAAATTTCCATTATTAAATTCATTTATGTTAACAGATAAGCTGCTTCTACAAACACATTCTGGAGTAAAAATGCTATCGAGAAACTATATTTTAGAATATATTTGCAATAAGCCTACTTTATTACAATATAATCTACTGAATTAGTATGTAGATGAAATATACTTCATTTCATAAAATAATGGCAATCAGCTCCCAAATTGGTATACTACAATGGCCATTGTATATAAGCAACAAAACAAAAAAAATTAATAAATTTTCAATACTTTATTAAATTTGTTGCCAAAATTTTCATACTGTTTTTTGTTCTGATGGCTTAACCATTTTCTCTCTCGGAACGATTTCTGTTTTAAAGTGTAAATTGCAGATAAATTTTGTATACATAGATAAAATTAATTAGTACAAATTAAATTATTATGTAATTTGAGATTTTAAAATATATGGCAAATTTTCTAAATTCCCTTAGAAGCTAAAATTCCTATCGACTTGCCTCAGAACTGTCCTCGGGTAAGAATTCTGCTGGCGACATTCTCATCAAATAGATTCTCTCTAAAATTTGAAAGCGTTATGAAGTCGTAATAATAGTAAACTCGAGAGATAAATGCTCTTCCTTTGTATGCAAAATCAATGGTTGCATCATCAATTTGGTTAATAATCTTTAATACTCTTGAATTCTTTCAAATATATACAGGTATTCACCACTTAACAGGTTATAATGGAGATGAAATATTCAGAGATGTCTATGTTTAGATGCATATAATTACTTACCATGTTACAATAAGCTCATATGAGAAGTAGACTATACCGTATAATTTTAAATAAGTTTGTATATGTATATACTATAATGTTTGCTTAATGATGTATCTCATAGAATGCATCCCCAATGTGTCATATACCTGTATATATATGAAATTGCAATCTGAATGAGGCAGTTGAGACCTTAACAGAGCTGCAATCATGCCCAAAGGAATCAATGGTGTACATATGAGATACCTTCAAAAATGGAATAAAATTTAAAAGTGAAAAAATCCAGAACTATTTCTCAAAACAATGCTAAAAATCAACTGTTTTCCAGTTTGCTGACAGTACTGTAAGGGCATAAAACAAAAAATGCCATGGCGAAACATGAGGCACAATTGGAATCACACCGCACATTCTGTTAAACCTACTGCATGTTTAACGAGCAGATATTCTAGAGATGTCTTGTAAAGGGTTAAGTTGTAGACCATGATTTCTTTGAATTCTTACTTCAAAGAAAGTGTGGTCTATGGCTCCGATAATGTCTCGACTACCTTGTTCGCAGATGTATTTGTACTGAAAGAAGCATAAAATTGACTTAAGATGAAGAAAATCTTTATATTTGTGCTTAATAACAGATTACTGATCACTAGATTATATAAGTTATACACATAATTCTATGTATATTAAACGTTTATGTATGTTTATTACGAGTCACATTTTGTTATTTATTTTGAGTAAAAGTTTTCAACAAATGAAAATAAATATAAATTTTATTTAAAAGTCAATGTTTTATATACAACATAACTAACATCAAATATATAAACTTTGTTTTTATAAAGTTTAGAAACATTTTTAAAATATATTAATTATTTTATTAGAGTTTAATCTCTAATGGATCTAGTCGGAACGTCGACTAGGATACCGGTCACAAGAGCCGTCCTTCCAGCCGTACAGCCATCTCTCCAGCACCCTGCTACAGTCAAATTCGGGCTTGTTCAACTTGCGATTCACTTCGTTGTGTCTTTCGCAAAACCAGTTCGACAGTAAATTTCTACTTGTCGTGTTTGGCGGATTTGACTTAATACTACAATTAATATGTTAATATTTTATGTAATTAAAAGTTCCCCCCAAAAGTCAAGACTGCGTGACGTACCTCTCTTGGAAATCCGTGGCACAGACTTCGCAGGGATAAAATTTTGAAAATTTATCAATGAAATCTTTCATGTCATCCTGTTCTTTTACAGTTGGCTTTTCAGGATAGTAGGCAGCCATGGTGTGGAGGAACGACCAAGTATAATAGCCCAGTCTGTTCGAATCCAATGGACACTCTCTTCTTTTTGATCTCTGCAAAAAGATTAATTCAAGATAAAGAATCAACATAGGACGGCCAACAATATAAAATTTTAAATTCAGTTTAAGCTATTTCATTCAACATTCGTAATTAAATAGAATACTTTTATTAACTTTGCATGAATGTTTCTTGAAATTTACTTATAAGTAATAATTTTAATACAGAAAGCACAATTTAAGTAAACTTCAAGAGAAAACAGTGGAGAGGTAGAGAGAGATCTCTGGGGTGAGAAATTGTCTAGTGTGTCACAACCTTTAGTTTACAAGAGACTTGCATATTCCTAACTAACCTTTAAAAACAATTGGATGATTCAGTGGTGAAGACACCATCTGTTAAGCCTCACTCTCACTTGCAGAAAATTACTATGGAAAAATAATGGGGAAAAACAATTCTATAGAAATTCTGGAATAAACATCATATTCTCGTTAGATCCAGAAAAAGAAATTTAAAGTGTCAGGTATTAGCTATTGTTGTAATGACAACACAATTTACATAGTTAAGATGGAGGAAGAAGCAATTATGGCATTTCATTCCTCTGTGTTCTGTATTCAGAAAATATTGTCCAGATTGCTCTTTGTTTCCTTCTATTTTCTTTCAAAATTCTTAATACTTAGGTGAGACTACATGTGATCATAAGGTACAGGTCTCAAGTCAACCGCTACCGATTTAAGAAATTCCTTTTCTGGATTCCATAGAGGAAAAATTTAAACTTGCTCAGCTCAAATTGTTTTATACTATGAAATGAGAAAATTTCTCTAAATTTTTTTTTCTGGATTACTTTTCTAAAAGTGAAAACTGCTCATTACTGTGAAAGATCCAGATTTGAGCCTAGTCACCTCAAACTGTAGAGAGCCAACTTGCCACCACCTAGATACAAGGCCTCTGCTCTCCGTACACAATACTCCATCATTATCGAATTGTCATTGAACACTTGTGCCACTAATCGTTAGTCCTATTTCTAGTGTGGGTCGGTGTTACTGATCTTCATTAAGAATTTTTGTCAAATTTTGTTTGAGATGTCATCGACGTGTCGTGTTCCTCGTAAATTAAATTACATAGGTGGCAAGAAACTTTCTGTATTCTAATTTCCAAAGGTGCAGTCCCAAGAAACCAAATGGCTGCGATCGACCCCTAGGAACAATTTTAAGCCTTTAGCTTAGTTAGACATAAGTTTTAGAGAATTTACCATTAAAATTTATACAATACCACATTAAGACTAATCCTTTACATTTGATTTTTGACATATGATGAAAATTATAATTTTTAATTAAGAGTTCCATAAAATAAAATAATTAATGTTAGGTTTGATATAATTGTTTAATAAAATTATAAGACTTGCGTGTAACTAAAATTTATCTGTTATACTTTAAAAAACACAAATGTAACTATTTTAACTGTTATTTTAAATATGATAGTTTTAACTACTAAAACTTCACTTATTACCGAATTATTAACAGGCAGTGCTACTTAATTCCTGTTGATAATTACACATGAAAAATCTTTGAAGTATTTCAAAGAAATAAAATTTGATAAAGTTTAAATTTTTACATAAATGTCAAGTATATGTTTAAAAATGATCAAGTAACAAAATATTTCCCACAGTTACTAGAAGTTAATTAAGTTTCACTACTAGATTTTCATAATGGAGGAAATTGGAATGAAAATGGTATAATAAATTAAACAACAAATGAATGTTTTTAAACTATTTTCTCATTACTTATAAATGTTGTCATTCTTATAAGTAGTGCTGCTGCCTGCTTCTGCTGGAACCACCCTGACAACACTTTCATTTTTTAATATGAGCATCATTGCGCTTATGCTCGGATTAGAAAAAATCAAACGACGTGAAGTGGTTGGCTGCTGGTGCAGTTGAAATAGTTTGCTTGAAGGTGAAGTTTGTGTTACACGTGGTATTTGTCACAAAGTGAAATGAGCTGATGGATGATGTAAAAACTTTTTATGTCATTCATAAGTTGTACCTGTACCGTAGTGTGCCAATGGCATAAAGATTGAAAAAAGCGAAATCCTATTCGGGTGTAATATAGTGTATACCTGTGTTCCTCACACCAATCTACTTTATTTCTTTAGCTTCTCTTGTCCTATCCTAAAACTCTCTAGTTATTTGGGAAAACAGAATGGCTTTTGGCTAAAACTTTTTCCTGTGAAACTTGTGCCGCAATGGGTAATAGCATCAGATTACAAGGCAGTTTTATCCTAGATTTACCCTAAATATTACTGAGAGGTTGAAATTACCCTAGAAATGGCAGCACTGCTTATAAGTGTTTGTTTTTGAATATGTTCTTACTCATTTTATTTTTTAATGGCTTAAATCTATGTGAACTTCACTTTTCATCATCAGATTTTCTGATGAGAAAACAGGAAAAATAGTAAAAGCATCATTGAAGTAGCCAAGATAAACTAAAGATGCCATCACTATTATTTTTCCCAATTGCCAATCATATTTATCATCTGCCTCTAATAAAAGCAAATCTTCAAGAATAAGTTTAAAAATGTTTAAAATTTAATTTTTGCTCATGCAAAATGATTACATACTGTTGCTGTTTAATTCTGTTATAACTTAATGCATTGTAATTTTTAAAGTTTATAACGTTAGGCATTATATTTTTGATTCTATAAAAATTCATAATAATTTTCTGAATTGTATGAAAAATAATTCAACAAATCTTCACTAAATGTATTAAATGAAATATCATACTTTTATATTGTGAATAAAATTAAAACTGTTTAAACCACAAATTAAACTAACCATTTTAATACAAAATTCTGTCATAAATGGAACGAATAAAAAAAATATTACGAAAAACTAAAAAGTTTGCATAAAATCGATCAGTCTCTTATTGGTGATGGCAAAATTGACGATGGATTGGCCTCATTATTTAGGTGGCAGTAGCTGACTTGGCCCATACCAGGCCCCACCTTCAATTTCTGGTTGCCACCATGGGCCCAGACAAACTCGCTGTATGGTAAAGCATCTTTAACTCTAAGCTCTGAAAATTTCTATACACCAGGAGACAAAATTGTCTTTACCCCTCGGGTTATAAGTGTAATTTGTATACAAAACCAGTTGAACTTTTCTGTCAGCCAATTTTGCATTTAAAGCATTCAATAAATATGGCCCAATAAGCCAACAACTTAGCACATTTTGTTTGTTTGCTTGCCTGGCCATATCTAATTTGCTTCATCTGGTAACATATCTGCAAGTACAGAAAAGCCCTCTTTGTAAAAAAAGAAAAACTTCAAACTTAAAAACACACCTCTAAACAGTTAACCACGTTATCCATCAAATTTAAACAAAAAATTGATTTTATATTCCTTTTATTCCTACTATTACAGAATCAGAGAAAGTAAACTTTACAGGAATTAAAGTTTATCATTGTTTACTTCATATCATATCATGATAATGAAGAATTAAAGATTAGTAAACACCAATATTGAATTATTGTAGAGAGATAAGAATGATGTGACCAATAATCGAAAAAACCTGCAACATTCTTGAATTTGTTTTTCTGGTACATGGCAACACAACACGTGGGACAATGCCCACAGTACAACTTTCTATGGAATCACTATTCGGATGTTATAATGTGAAGAAAACCCGGAGAATTCCATGTCAGATGGGTGCAAACCTGCCACCTTAAAGCCATGGTCACACCATGCCATTTCCACAACAAGCGCGAGTTGCGCACATCTTCTTGTGGTCATACAATGTTCACTAGCGTTACAACTCAGAAACACGTGACCCTATAATAAGCCAATAAAATTACAGTAGCTTGTTTTTGACTACTTTCATGAGTTTACCGATGATTTATATTCTATTTCAGAGTATTTACAAAATTTTAGCCACTTTTCTTATTAAAATGGCAAACAGTTCCTTTTCTGAAATGAATACAAGAAAAAAGGCGATCATTTTGATAGAGCTGGCAAGAATACACAGAGATAAAATCTTTGGTAAAACAAAGAATTAAAATCCCACAGACATTCACAAGCCTGAATAAGCTCAATCAATCTGTAAAAGTATCAATCTTCTAACTTTCCTCCATGACAATGAACTATTTTCAATGTTGTCATCATATGACGTGGCACAAAGGCACTTGCTGATTGGATGCGCATTTGCAACTGACCCAAGTAGAACAAACTTTTTGTTTCTAGTTGCAGTTGCTATCGCCTGCATGTAGAAATCGCATGGTGTGACCATGGCTTAAGGGAAACCAACATCTGTTTATGTTCTGTTAGTTACAGGAATGCAACACTTGGGAGATATTTTTAAGGGTAACTGGCTCCTATTCAGGTGAGTTTTCTCCACGTAAAGACGTGGAGAAAACTCAGAAAAATCCACGTGGCCAGCCCATCCTGGTCCCTTAGTCTCAAGTTTTTCGTGTTGTACTCGAATTGACATCATTGAACTCACCCGTGTTACTATGAATCACATAATCGGTAGTCTCGAGCTAGACCCATCAAGCAAACTTGAAAGGGGAGTGGAAGTAGGTCATATTCGCTTGTTTATGTGTTTCATTAAGCATGATGGGATTATTTACAATGCATCTGGGTTTGCGACTATAATGATTCGACCAATCAACTTAACTATAACAAGTTGTAAACAAATCAACGTGAATTATTTAAACATGTTATAGTTAAAACATTTGTCTTATAGCAATATAGTATGCAGAAACAAAATGGAAACCACTGTTTTATTTTAAAAAATAAGCAAAGAACAAAAAGAAATATTAGTAACATATATAAAAAATAATAATAAAATGAACAGTGGAAAATTCGACAATGAATTTACAAGAAAAAGACAATTCGATTTGTGGAGAGAATTAGTCGAAAAATTAATTGCGTATTGATGCATAAAAATCCGTTGTGTAATGGAAAAAGTATTTTAATTTAATCCTTTCTTCATATAGTTTTCTTCCTTGATCTACTTCTTAAATTGTTTTGCTTATTAAGATTATTTATTAATCAGAGCTTAACTCTTCTGGTTAATAAATAATCTTAATATAGTGTCTATGCTCTTAATAATTTATACATATAATTTACTATCATTTTAATTCTCTTTTTCAATGAATTAAATACTTCTTTTTATTTTTGGAAAAATTTGCTGTCTAATTTTATCAATTATGAATTAAAAATTTTCTTATTAGTATTGACTTGACACGAAAAGAAATGGCATCTATTCGTGGTCAAAAAATTCATTGCCTTCTTAAACAACTCTTTCGGCTCTTTCTAACTCTTCGATTGCGATCAGAACAGCATATCCGTCAGCCATTTTCACTTTCGTGAGCGATCTCATATGCTCAACTCAACATGAGTAGCAACTCACATGGTGAGATGGGAAAGCACGTGAGTTATAACTCGAGACTACCGATTTGACGTCAGAGTGTGAGATGGTACCAAGTGACACCAGGGCCGTGCGGTAGATTTTCTAAGTATGATGCAAGTCTTCAAAATGCCGCCCCTTATATAAATTATTAGTCTTATGTAGGCTATAATTGTTATTATTTGGTGTATCTTACCAGGGCTGTGCGGTAGATTTTCTAAGTATGATGCAAGTCTTTAAAATTCTACCCCTTAAATGTTTTTTATGCTGCCCCCTCACGTTGCCACCTGATGCGGCCGCATCTCTGCATCATAGCACGGCATGGCCCTGCGTGACACCTTCAACACGATGGGAGTTGTAACACGAAAAACTCGAGACTAAGGGCCCTGGCGATGTGCGAACCCACAATCGAACTACCAGCATTTGGGAATGGAATGGTTTGGTAACTTGTGGGCATGGTCTCTGTTTAGGTGTTACTAGTTTGAAGAAAACCTGGGAAATTCCACGTTGGACTAGCACTTCAGTCGGGTGCGAACCCACGACAGGTATTTAGTGGTTATTTCACTCGGCCAATGGTGGGCGTGACATTCCCGAATTCATTCGAATAGCAACGAACGTATATTAAATCATCTCGAATAGTAGAATTGAATGATGTGTTCAGACCCCCCTTCTCACGTGCAATGTTCACATCTCCGATAAGGTTCGAACCTCTTCTTCAGAACTGCATTTGTACTTTATAAACGAACGAATTGACGTAAAATTCGATTATTCTACACCAAAAAAGTACTTTTACGAGTAAACGAGGGATAATTTACGAATTTAAAGCACCTTCTTTTCGGCAGCTTCGACATTCATCCCTTGCTTCTTGGCCCAAGTTTTAAAATCGGTGCACGCTCTACAATTCTTCTCCAAATCAACCGCAGTCTCCGGCGCCGCCATTAAAACTAACCAGTTTGAGTAGCGCGCCCCTGAAATTGAACTTTTTTCTTAACGGAATATTTTAAACGATAAATATTAATCGGATTCGAGAATTGAAACTTATTAATAAATCTCGTTCGTGTTTTTATTTCTGACTAAAAGAAATGTGACTTCTAAAAGAAAAAAATATTGTTTTCGTGTCGCCCTCTTTCGGTTAAAATAATCCTTAATTTCGACGTAGAAATAAAGTTCGTGTATATAATTAATTTATTTAGGATAATTGTAGTTATAATATATTAATAATAATAATAATATAAATGGTTAAAATTGACTTTGGTGCTTAGTTAATTCAATTTTTAAAAATAATATGCTTTTATAACGATAGATGGCGAAACGTAATACGAGCGTCTTTTTGAATTTTTTTTCCCTTCCTTAAATTATATTTTAAAAATCGTAAAGTAATAATATAAACCCGATTCTTAGATTGAAACCAAATGATTGCCAGATTACATTGCGTTATATTAGTGCTACTAATAACTAATTAAATAAAATTTATAATTATTAAATTTATCACGAGATGGCGCCTAACGCCTAACTCTAATGCGAAATTGTCTTTTAAATTATTAGTATTATAGCCATTTCTAGCCTGATAATATTTGGCTTTGGTTGGTGTATAGCTTTAAACGTATCGAGTGTAGTAATGATGTTTGATGATTTTAGAATTGCTAATGTTGACACAGATTATTTATATACAGTTATTATATAAAAAATACAAATTGATAAAATTAATTTTTTTTAATCAGAGATCTGTTTTTCGAACATTCCTCATGTATGGATTTCATTTTTTGGTCTGGTTGTTTGGAGTTAAAGGAGTTAGAGATACACAGTGTGGTTTTAAAATGCTAACAAGAGAAGCTGCTCAGATTTTATTTCCTGCATTACATGTAGAAAGATGGTAAATTGTAAATCAGTTTTTAATAATGAATTTAATATAATAACTTTACATTGAACTTGCTGTTATTCTTTTATAAATAATCATAAAATCCAGTATGTTAATTTAATTATCTACAATGATAAGCTATTATTACATTAATTAATACTAATTAATAGCTAAAATTNTTTTTTAACAGGCAGAAAATGAATTAGAGGTTGACAAATAGAATAAATGTAAGTTGGCAAGAATTCAAACATTATTATTAGATATTGACAGCGACACCAACGATTAAGACGTATTACTTAATATTTTATTTACATACAGACCTACATATAAACATTAAGATGTATTATATAATTATAAGACGTATTACCTAATATTTTAATTACATACAGACCTACATATAAAGAAGGAAAGATTTCAGAGTAGGCTATCAATAAACCTGCCTTTATATTCTACTTTTAATGGTGCAGAATATCCTATAAACTACTAAATTATGTAGACACAATGTGAATGTCATAAAAAATGCAATTTTATGTGTCAAAAATAGAGTGAATGATATCCCAAATACTGTTTCAAATAATTGAAAAAAATAATGTACTTCATGTAGTATTAAAATTAATAAATTATTTAAAAAATAAAGTTTGCCTTTATCTTAGTTAAATTTCTGTGCCTGCTTAAATGCATTAGAGCAGGGATGGCCAACACGTAGACCGCAAAGGTTTTGAAAGTAGCCCGCGAAGCTAAAGTTGAACAATTTGCTTTCACTTAAATTAATGTTTAAAAATCTTAATTCGATAATTTATTCTTACAATAATAGACTGTCTGTGCAGCATACCCATACTGTTTGTATTTATCCCGATGAACAATGCAAATGAATGTTAATGCATGCGCATATAAAAATCCTAAAATTGTTTGCCCATATTCATAGTCGCCTGCAGACTATATTTTACCAAAAATGTAGCCCCTAAGGGATAAAAGTTTGGCCACACCTGCATTAGAGGATAAGCTGTGGATTTTCCAATTATATTATCACATATGTAATGGAATATAATATGAAAATTGCAAATACACCTATTTAAACAGATATACTGTGAATACATTTATACAGATAAAATTCAAGGAATCGTACATTTCCAGTTTTCTAACTGGTTCGGAAGTGGTATAAAAAATGCCACTTTTTACCAGATTTGCAGTAATCTAACTTACACCCAGTCACAAAACTTCTAGACCAGTGATTTTCAACCCGTGTTCCGCAAAAATTTTTGTAGGTTATTAAATAATTTTCAAAAGAAGCCCAAATAACCATAAGTATATGTGTCAAAGTTAACCCTCTTTAAATTGATTAAACTGAGTTTTTCATTGTTATAATAAACATATACATAATGTAGTAAAAAATACATATTCATATCAGTAAGCAAAATTGTATGTTCATAACACTGGGTTATTTCATTTAAAATGAAATATTCTTTAAATCAAAAATTTATCTAAATTGTTCATATTTAGTTCAATTTAAGTTAGAAATAGCATGGCATTGGGTAGGTTTCTAAAGGCAATTGTGCCATTTTTAAATGCAAAGACTTAATGTTAATTGCTTTTATTATGTAAATGAAAATTATTAATTTAAATGACTATTATTGTAACCTGCTGCTATTTTAAGGAAAACAATACTGTTTGGATTTGTTCAGTAAGCAGAGCCATATTTAACAGTTCTTACTGCATAAGTAAGTCATAATGTAGTATTTAATGTGACGAGAACTTTATTTTGCAAACAATTCTCTACTAAACTCACTCTAATACAGAGTTGTTTGTGAAATAAACATCTATGCCGAAGCAATATAGGAGTCCATAAGCCAGAAAACAGAGTACAATGGACTACAATAACCAATTTTTGTCTTGTTAATTTTCTAAAAATTTAAGAATTTTTTAAGAGGAAAGTTTCTCAAAACAGTTTATTAAATAGTCAAACTATTTCCAAAGTTTACATACAATTTCAATATTTCTACATTATCTTTTTAACAAACCTAACATAGAGCATTTGTTACCAATCCAATTTTTTTAATATACTATTTAAGTAGACGTCAAAAGTCCAATCATTTGTTATGCGGTATCTCCTGTAGTCTCGGGTCATCACTCCTGTAGACTGGAAAAGATAAATTAAATAGTTAAACTGTAAAATTTTCTTATGTTTAACATGTAACAAAAATATTAACACATTTATAAAAAATATGAAATTATGTAAATTCTTAAGAATACTAAATCGCTATTTATGTTACTAATGAATATATACTCATATTGTTCAACAGAACAAAACATGATTTGATATGGTTTGAAGAGATATGGCAACACAACACATGTGCCAATAGTCTCTTGGGAAGATTTTCTACAAAAACTAGTCTTATTTAGTTATTACACACATGAAGAAAACCCAAAAATGCCATATGAACAGCTTGTTGGTGAGATATGAGTTTGCAACTTATTACCGGTATTCCCAATGTTTTTCCCACTTGGCCACTGGTGGACACAAATATGTTATATATTTTCAAACTGTTTTCTTTTAAAGTTATTCTCAAATTCTGGATAAAGAAAAGTTATTAGGTGCTGATGCTAGATTGAGAAACAGGTTAGTTGAGGGAGAATAGCAATTCCATGTTTAAAAGGAGTCAACAGAATTCGTACAAGGTAATAAATGTAAGATGGCCGATCCGGGGGAGATAGGGGACTTGAAACCCACTTCACGGCACCTGTGTAAGGTTGCCGTCTCCTAGGTGGGATCTATTAACCCCGCGTCAGGATGGACCTAAGGGAAGGTTGTATGTGGGCGGTGACGGAGGAGGCAAATGACGACAAGTGTTTTACACAAGAAAGCCATTTATTTGTTAACATATATGCTTACATCGGCAATCGACAGTCCTTCACTAGATTCTTCCCTCGAAGATGCAGAGTGTGAGAACTTCGGCGTCGGTCGTAGCCCTGGGGCGGACGAGATGCTGTTGCTGATCACAGCGGACGATCGGAAGATATAAGCAGCGGAGTCCACAGTTCCTTTGTGATGACACACCACAATAGAAGTCACTACCTTTCGAGGAGTCGGAGGAGAGCCCTCTTGACCTTGATTTTCCGATTTTTATAGTTTTTCTCTTCCACTTTTCGGACTTCCGATTGGCCCTTCATCCCCTTTCTCGCTTCCCGATTGGTCTTTCTTTTGTTTTGGGATAAACTGAGACCGCCTCAGGTCACGGGAAAGGTCCGATTCCAGGTGTCTGCTCGACGCCGTTCTGTCGATTGTTGACAAAATTGCAAGACTCGCGCTCATAATTTAGCTCCGTTACTCGCGATTTCTGTCATCTGGGTACTCGAACGATCATATGCAATGATTTATCTCTCTTAAATCTTTCCCTCTTTTCAGAAATTGTTTCCCTAGATTGACTGTTTATGAGCGCTGGGGTCAAAGTTCTACCTGCATATGACCACTTG